GGCCCCGGGGACGTTTTTTTTTTTTTTCCACCGCCCACAATTACAACCCCCCAAACCACGCCACCCATTTACACACACACACACTGACACACACACACACATACACACGCACATGCACACACAAATTCACACCGTCGCCCTAGTCGCGGGCACTTTTTTTTTTCGCGAACACGCACAACCCCCCAAACTGCGCCACCCATTTACACAAATAAATACACACACACATAATCACATTCACACACACACACACAAACTGCGACCTTTATTTTATTTTATTTTTTTAAAATTTGTGTTTTTTTTTTGTTTTTTTTGCGCAAAACAAGCGGTTAGAGAAATTTTTAATAAAGGGTTGCAAGCAAAAAAATAAAAACAAGTGGTTTGGGGGGTTGGGGCGCAGGGGTGGGGGCGGGGTGCCAGGGGGGGCTACGGGAGGGTTTGGGTTATGAGGGGCCTGGAAGCACACAAAACACTTGTCGTCTGAAAACAGAAACATCGCAAATGCCAAGATGTAATGATCGAAGCAAAACGCAAACTAATATAGCATGGACAATAGCAAAAAACTGACACATGGCGTCGAAGCCCCGCCAGTCTGTGGAAAGAATTACCAACCCGAAAATGCCTACGAACAAACACACTAAAATACACTGGAAAGCTACAATCCCCGAAGTAGCAAACTGGAAAAAACTGCCTACTGGAAAGTACACTATAATACAATATCACGAAACACTACGTCTACGCAGAAAAGTACCCACTGGAAAGTGGACTATAATACAACCTCACGAGACACTACGTCTGTCATGGATAACGAAAAACTAAAGTACACTGAGTAAGTTACGAAAATGCAAGTCCGTAATCCGTCAACGATCGTCGTGCGCACGCGGATCTCGCTCGGACCGATGAAAAACTCCTCCGTGGGACCGACCCCTGCCACCTCCTCGATCTCTCTGACGCTGGCCACCGCTTCCGCCAGCGGAAGGCTCGGGAGCGACGGGAAGCTCATCGGGCCTGATGGCTGCTCCTGCTAGGTCATCACGTCGGCGTGACTCGCGTGCCATAGGTAGACCGTCAGTCCCTGAAGTCTCCCCCTCCTTGCGTCGATCTAAGGGCACGTGTCAGGCCTGCCTCAGTCGTGTAACAACATCAGGCTCCTCCAGAATAATCGACGCCTCTCTCAAACCGTACGTCCGCGGCGGATCCGCTGCACTCGTCGTGGCACTGCCTGCGCCCTCACGTCTGCCGTCACCGTCGCCACCATTGCCACCGTCGCCACCATTGCCACCGTCGCCACCCCCTCTGCCGCCAAACCCTGCAGCTACAACATCTCGACGTTTCGCGCTCGTGGAAACCCCTCTCAAACCTGGCTGACGACCGACACTCGCCGTCGTCACCCGTCTCGTCTCACTCCATGGTCGATCTGTGCGACCGAACAACATGGTGTCCAGCAACTCCCGTGCACACTGGGTAGTGTCTCTCCGTCTACGGGCAACCGACCTCAGGGTAAGGCTGCCTCCCTCCCTCAGAGCTGCGCTCAAGGGTGACGAAGGGCTTGCGGCGCCTCCAGATGGCGCTGTGACCGAACCTCCAGAAGGTAAGTCCCCTGCGGCCCCGCCCGATGCCGCTGCGACGGAACCTCCAGAAGGTAAGCCCCCTGCAGCCCCGCCAGATGGCGCTGCGACGGAACACCCAGAAGGTAAGCTAGGGCTGGCTGGCCCCCAAGACAAGTCCTACATGTGAGGAAGCTTCCCCTCCTCCGGGACTGACCTCAAAACACGCTGGTCGATCTCCGTCAAATCCCTCCTGCCGTGGTCCTCCAACTCCTCAGCGGTCATAAAACCAAAAGGGAGGCTGCCTCGAGGCGTAGCCATATGCCTAATCTCCGACCTCATCCGTGACGGCGCAAAAGTAGGGACCGGGGGTATGCACGCGCCCCTGCCTACACGTCGCTCCTCGACCGGGCCACCGCCATGTGCAGGACGCCTATAACCCTCCAAAAACGGTGCCTGATGTGGCACCACTGGCCCCACAGCAGTGCGAACCACCAAAGTYTGTGGCATCTCCTGTCCGTCCGCGTCACGCCTGTCCACCTGTGCGGGGTCTCCCCCGCCAGACGTGGACATCGGATCGGCTGCGGGCCGCACCTCCGACCTGTCTCTTATACACATCTAGATGTGTATAAGAGACAGCCCCACAGCAGTGCGAACCACCAAAGTCTGTGGCATCTCCTGTCCATCCGCGTCACGCCTGTCCACCTGTGCGGGGTCTCCCCCGCCAGACGTGGACATCGGATCGGCTGCGGGCCGCACCTCCGACCCGGCAAAACCAACGGCCCCCGCTACGGCCCCGTCCCCCCCGGTGGTCGGCGCTATCCCCTCCGCCTGCGCCGATGGGCGAATATCATCAACGCCCACTGACTGCCCCGTCTGTATGTCCTCCAGACCCGGGGACATATGCACGGCACCCTCAACTGAACCCGCGGGCAGAGGCACGCCCGCGACCTCCTGCAATGTCTCCTCTGGCCTCATCTGCACGGCAGGAGGCTGCGCCGGCTCCGAACGTGGCTCCTCTGTCGGTGCCAATCCGCTCTCGTGCGTCCCCTGCTGAACATCTACTCCCGTACTCGAAACCTCTTTCGAAGCCGCCTCCCGCTGCATCGTGTCGTGAACCTCTGCAGGAGTATCCGTGTGGGCAGCTGACCCCACGTCAACAGACGCCGTCGTATATGTCCCCAGTTACCGTTGTCGGTCCTCGGCCGCAAGACGGGCGAGCTCCTGCGTCCTGGGGTCCCTCTGTGCCATGAGGCATGCTCGACGACTCTCAAGCCTATCCAACCTCTCCTCAGATGTCTCTCCAGGAGGTGTGCGATCCTTGTTTCCCTCTGCCCCCGACATCACCTCTCCGCGCATGGCAGGGGAGAAACTGTTCGGGTCCAGGAGGCTGATCTGTCCCAATAAGGCCTGCATACCCACACTGATGTCCCCACGGAACTCGCTCTCTCCACGGGAAAGACCCACGCTCTCTCCCGAGGGCATACCCATATCGCCAAACTCACTGAATCCGCCTCCGCCGCTCCATCGGTATCCCCTCAACCGCCGCATCAACATCGGCACCGCCTCCACCTCCGGCCAACGCACCACCATCTCCACCAACCAACCCCTGTCTGTCTCCGTCATCACCCTGCACCGGCATAGGACCGCCCTCCAATCTGTCCTCCAATCGTTGTCTCGGGCCCCTCACCAATCTCTGCAATCGATATGAACCGGCTGGCGGTCGATGAAGTTGGTCCGTCGAAGTGGGAAGAGCAGTGGATGATGCCGTGCCAGAGCGACCCAGAGGACGATGGCCAATCCCTGACTCAGCCCCCCTCGAAGGTGCAGACCCAGGATCTGTCTCCCGCTCAGCGGGAAGCGGAGCAGTGGACGTAGGCCTCGGACGCTCTAAAGGACTCCCATGACGACCCCCAGACTCCTCCAAATCAACTCCAACGAAAAGGTCATCTCCGCCACTCCGTCTGGAGACGTCCTCTGGGTCGCTCCACTCATCATGCTAAGCCGCCGCATGAGTGGCGCTAGCGGGGCCCGACGGCTCGTCCTCGTCCTCGTGACCCTCGGAATCACTGTTGTCTCGAGGGTACGGGTGCAATGTGGCTGCTTAAGTCCCAAAAACATCGTCCACATCACCCGGAGGAGCTCTGGACCCACATGGGTCTCGCTGCCATGAACGTCTCTTATCCTCGACCTCCTCCCGCGTCCTGCTCTCGTCCGTCCCCTTCCACGAGGGGCGAATCCCGATACCTCCCTCCACGTCCAACAACGACTCATCTAGAGTCCACGGCAACGCGAACCCGCGGCCTGCCCGCTAATGAGAGAGAAGGCGGACGTTGGTTGAGATCTCAACCAACTTCGCGACCTTCTCGAACTCAAGCCGGTTACGTTTCTTCGTCTGTACACCCTCGTGGACGGCCCAATTCCTCTCCGCAGGAGAGGAGCACGTCCACATGTACATCACACGAAGAGCGATAACCTGCAACTGCGGGGCGCACTGGCCGTACCGCGACCACCAACACCCGGACTCGTACGTCTCCGCATCGCCCCTGCACATCTGTGCATCTCTATCTCCATCTCTCCCCCCCCAAGCAATCGTCCCCCTCCTTGTGTGGAAGTTGCGCAACTGTGCACATGCGGTCTCGTAGTCATGGCTCGCCACACTGAACCCTGTCTGCGACAAGATGTAAGTCTCCGCCTCCCTCACCAAACTCGCGTCGTACTCGCTGACCACGCCCTTGAAGTACCACAAGTCCCGCCGGCTGGGACAGAGAAGGTGAGCAGCGGCGTGCGCCGGCTCCAGCATGTGAGCGCATCGAGCCTGCACCCTCTGCACAATGTAGTGTGCAAGATCTGCCGGAAGTGCACAAACCTCCTCTGCTACCTGGCGTGCCAGATCCTGGGTCCACTCAACTACCCGCGACATGTGCAGCCCTCCGCGGTCCAACCTGCGCAGCAGGTCGTACACAAGCTCCATGATACGGAACAAGATGCCCATGGAATCCCACCAACTGCCATGTCGCACCTGCCACCTGACCCACCTAGCCAACTGACGAACGGAATGGTCCCAAGGGACCATACCCCAAGTATCGCCATCCACCGTCCTCTCCAAAGTTGACCTCAGTGTCAGCAAACGCTCCACCATCGCGAACACGGATGCAAAACGTGTCTCGCAAGGATAGATGAGGCCCATCTGAGTGCTCTCCCCCCGGAAGATATGGAGAGCGGCGTCGTGCTCCTTAATGAAGCGCACCACCGCTCTCCCCCTCACGATGATGTCCTCGGACCACGGGCCCGAACAGCCAATGTCTGACAACATCTTGTTGCAGACATGCACTGCACATGGGAGCCACGTGATCCGTCGATGCTCCGGCCTCTGCTGGGGCCCCTGGAGCATGTTCGCCGCGGCGACGTACGCCGAGGCGGAGTCGGTGCAAATGGCGTTCACCCACTTAGGGGAGAAGTCATCGAACACCTTGATCCAGTGCGCCAACACATCAGGAGCCCGATCCCGCTCACCCTCCCTGTTCATCGTCCGGACGAGCATC